TGGTTCTATGATTCAATTTGTTGATGTGTTTCTGTAGCATAGTGCCCCCCCTAAATGTTTCTTCAGCACACAATAGAAAAATACAGATTCAAAACAATCAGTCTCTGTTTTTGATTTATGTGGCATTCAGACTTTCTGGGTTTTATTTGGTTAAATGGTAAAAGCCTTACGTGTAGATTAAGGGGAGAGATTAAACTGATTGTGACATAAGAAAAAGATGTGAACTGACTGAATTTTGGCAGGTCTTATTTTTCATTAGCTTTTAACTGGAAAAATGTCAGGCATTCTTAACTCCCGCAAGCATGTTCAGCTTCTCCCTGACCATACTTCACATACACTCTACTTAACAAACTACTGTTTGTTTGTGGTTCCTGTCAGTGTAACCCTTCAGTAATCAGAGTTGATTTCTTATGTGAATCCTATAACACCAGAGATGGCATTTAACTTTTAACCCATCTACAACCACGCAAAGTTATTCAGTTGGGTGGCAACTATGTGTAAGGTTTATTATGTGCAGGACATTTTGTAGGCTTTTCATTGTGGCCCTAATTGGACCCTAATAGATTTTGTTTTCCAGGCAGTTTCTTTAGATTCACTTTAGGTGGGGAAGGACTGTTCAAAGCATAAATGCTGCCCGAGCAACTAAATGCAACCTCTTGCACTTGCTCGCAGCTTAACCCTGATAATTGATGTTGCAGCTGCTTTTCCCAACGCATTGTGGTTGCTGCAGGGCACATGCTCCGATCTCAGCAGGTGCTACCCTCTGTCAATAACTGGCTCTCCCACCTCCCCTTCCTTCCCAAGCAGCAGCTTGGCTTTCTGAGAGGTGCAAGAGGACAACTTTTGCAGCTGTGTATGCCAAACTCGGGTGAGAAGGAGCGACAACATTTGGGTGGGATGCCAAAATTTTAATCTGGTCTTCCTGTCTGAAATGAGCCACCTGGGTGTAAAACATTGTGGAAGCTACTTAGTTCCTGTCATGAACAGGAGTTGGTTACATTAAGGACAAAGAGGATTTGCTGAATATTTCTTTTTTTTTCCTTGTAATGGCTTTCTGCCATTCTTACAATCTGATTGCAGTATTGCAGCACAAAGTAGTTGGAAGTTTATACCAGAAGCTGTAAAACAAAAAGGTGAAGAGACTTAACTGTACTTTCAACAGTTTTATTAGTAAGCAATATGCCTGGTAGTCTTGTGTATTCAGTATGTGTATTCAGACTTATGTGGTTGCACAAGTACCTTGTACTTCAAGGTAACAGGAATAAATTCATGGAAGTCTTCAGCTTAATACACACACCGGTTCTCATTGCAATGAAACTTTCGCGGAGCAACGCTGGATAGGTGCAGCGATGCCCACTGAAGATGGGCATTTGGTTACTCTTGCTTTACACACCAGGTGCCCTGGTGCTGCCTGAAAGGTGGTTCACATGTGCGGCTATAGGGATGTGACCTGCCTTTAGGGAATTCAAGAAGCTGTGCTGCACTGATAAATACCAAGGCTGTGTAGGGCAAGGAGGTCCTGTGT